GCCACAACTACAGAAAGCTGTTCCAACCCACTGAAAAATATGCGCTGACCGAATCGACATTTAGCGACTTAGCACGCACGGTGTGACTGAAGTACCCAATTTCCTGTCAACTGCCCACACAACAGTCTGGCTGAGGTGTTAAAAGGGAAGAGGACGTGTGAGCGAGAAGGGACATCGGCATGACCAAATGGGCATGTCACCTCTCATCACACGCTTCATCTCGAACAGAGAGCAGTCCTTTTTTTTTCTTTTGACTTCTGTGACAAGTTGCGATTGCAAGGCTGTATTAAATTTTTGCCTTGTTAGCATTATGCAACAAGTCAGTAATATTTCAACGCTGTATCACAGCGCATCAGCTCAACCACCCGGTTGAAGCTAATCGAATCATTATAAAAGACACAAGGCATTTGTCATTCATACTGTTGTACCAAATTTTATGCGGCAATGTCAACACTTCAAAATTATGTTCAATTTCTAATAGTATGCAGTCAAGTCTGCCACCTCCCTAACCAAACAAAAAGGCTTTAATACTTCCATCCATCCATCCATCCATTTTCTGATCCGCTTATCCACACAAGGGTCGCGGGGCGTTTGGAGCCCATCCCAGCTAACTTAGGGCAGTAGGCGGGGAACACCCTGAACTGGTTGCCAGCCAATCGCAGGGCACACACAGTCGAACAACCATCCGCACTCACACTCACACCTGGGAGACAATTCAATCATAACACGTAATTATCGCAGGGTATATAAGCAGGGGGAAACTTCTGAATGTGAGTCACCTTAAAACGGATGCTTGTTACTGTTTGTCTGCAGTTTAGAGCTGCAAGGCGCTGCGCGCTGGTGACATTTTATTTGCAGCGGGAATGACACTTTGTTGATGGAGAGACTAGTGTCTCAAATACCGGAAGTGTTAATGGAAGTGAAGAGAGGAATTGGGTGTTGTTGCAATGTGTCACCTATTTAATGCTGTCACTTGTGGTCCAACTGAGAGGAGCTACAGTACATACATGCTGGAAACACTAGTGGATTTTTTTTTTCTTGCACCACTGTATATTAGGTGGTATGGGCTAGAATGCAGAGAATTTCAAAGAGCACAGTTAACACTTATAGGGGGTTGTTTATGTCTGCTCCGCTTGCGTAATTAAAATAAGGGAGAGGAATCTCTGCCATTGATAACAGTTTGGGGAACTGCCTCCCTTTCAACTGGACTCAAATGCATTCGAAGAGCACATTTAAAAAGAATAGTTGACCAGTGTACTCGGCAATAAAATTATTTGCAAACATAAGTTGAGCAGCATTAAGTGTCCAGGCATGCTGTGGAAACACTCAAAATGAATTTAAACAGCCGCAATAAAATAGGAAAGGCAATGATTCTGTATTTGTTGCTAATGAAGGTAAATTGATTTAAAAAAAAAAAACTGCCAACAAAATGGGTGTTCACATTTTCTTTTTTTTGTGTGTGTTGCACCACAGTAGTGTTGCAGGCGGCCAATCAACAGGCCATTTAGGTCCCCAAAAGATAACATAAACAAACACTGTAAATAAAATGCTACTGAAGTTAATTCTTCTGGTTGTTGTGGTATTCTTTGCTGTCTAATGTGTACTCTTGTTTCGATGAACGGAATGCCACCACATTCATCCACATAGTGCGCAGCATATGTTTGGGGACGCTTGGATGTGGCAGTGTTGCCGATCAATACAAACAGCAGAATAGAATTTCATTTTGCTGGCGACCATTACGTTACATATATCGGGTAATAGAAGAAATTTTCAGTGCAACACACACCAGCTCCACCCAGTCTTGTTTTCTTGTGCCCAGAGTGTCCAGCCGCTTACTTTTTCAAATGTGCGGCATCGCTCAGTGTTTAATCATCTTTCGAGTGGACAGTGTGACACGCTTTGATCTCAGGCATAGCTCAAAGACAAGGGCACAAGGACAGGTTGGAAAGGGACACACAAAAAGATGGGGAGAGAAACACTGCCGAAGATCACATGTTGCTGTGCAGAAAAAGAATTCAGCCCCTTTCTGAGCAATAACAACATGCTTCAATAACGCCATCTAGAGGCTACTTAAGGCACCACATCTTTTGCTTGACACCTAAGGTGCTGAGTAACAAGACATGCAAAGGCCTTGATATTTACTTTCAAGCAAAGCATTGAGGTTAAAAACAGTATGAGTTGTGTCCGACTACAGGGCCAATTAATTTGCATGCCACAACTACAGAAAGCTGTTCCAACCCACTGAAAAATATGCGCTGACCGAATCGACATTTAGCGACTTAGCACGCACGGTGTGACTGAAGTACCCAATTTCCTGTCAACTGCCCACACAACAGTCTGGCTGAGGTGTTAAAAGGGAAGAGGACGTGTGAGCGAGAAGGGACATCGGCATGACCAAATGGGCATGTCACCTCTCATCACACGCTTCATCTCGAACAGAGAGCAGTCCTTTTTTTTTCTTTTGACTTCTGTGACAAGTTGCGATTGCAAGGCTGTATTAAATTTTTGCCTTGTTAGCATTATGCAACAAGTCAGTAATATTTCAACGCTGTATCACAGCGCATCAGCTCAACCACCCGGTTGAAGCTAATCGAATCATTATAAAAGACACAAGGCATTTGTCATTCATACTGTTGTACCAAATTTTATGCGGCAATGTCAACACTTCAAAATTATGTTCAATTTCTAATAGTATGCAGTCAAGTCTGCCACCTCCCTAACCAAACAAAAAGCCTTTAATACTTCCATCCATCCATCCATCCATTTTCTGATCCGCTTATCCACACAAGGGTCGCGGGGCGTTTGGAGCCCATCCCAGCTAACTTAGGGCAGTAGGCGGGGAACACCCTGAACTGGTTGCCAGCCAATCGCAGGGCACACACAGTCGAACAACCATCCGCACTCACACTCACACCTGGGAGACAATTCAATCATAACACGTAATTATCGCAGGGTATATAAGCAGGGGGAAACTTCTGAATGTGAGTCACCTTAAAACGGATGCTTGTTACTGTTTGTCTGCAGTTTAGAGCTGCAAGGCGCTGCGCGCTGGTGACATTTTATTTGCAGCGGGAATGACACTTTGTTGATGGAGAGACTAGTATCTCAAATACCAGAAGTGTTAATGGAAGTGAAGAGAGGAATTGGGTGTTGTTGCAATGTGTCACCTATTTAATGCTGTCACTTGTGGTCCAACTGAGAGGAGCTACAGTACATACATGCTGGAAACACTAGTGGATTTTTTTTTTCTTGCACCACTGTATATTAGGTGGTATGGGCTAGAATGCAGAGAATTTCAAAGAGCACAGTTAACACTTATAGGGGGTTGTTTATGTCTGCTCCGCTTGCGTAATTAAAATAAGGGAGAGGAATCTCTGCCATTGATAACAGTTTGGGGAACTGCCTCCCTTTCAACTGGACTCAAATGCATTCGAAGAGCACATTTAAAAAGAATAGTTGACCAGTGTACTCGGCAATAAAATTATTTGCAAACATAAGTTGAGCAGCATTAAGTGTCCAGGCATGCTGTGGAAACACTCAAAATGAATTTAAACAGCCGCAATAAAATAGGAAAGGCAATGATGCTGTATTTGTTGCTAATGAAGGTAAATTGATTTAAAAAAAAAAAACTGCCAACAAAATGGGTGTTCACATTTTCTTTTTTTTGTGTGTGTTGCACCACAGTAGTGTTATGATGATGCAGCCACATTGTTCAAATGTAATTGTGCAACTTTCATCTGCTGTAAAAAGTACAGGTGGACATTAACCCCAGAATGATATTCACCTTTAAATCATATACAGTTCCGAATCAGCGCGATAACATTGGGGAAGAATACACCTCCAAAGTCGCACAAAAATCTAGACCACCTCGCATGATAGCAGTCCCAGACATTTAACAAGCTCAGTGAGCATTTCAAGTATTGACTCCACAAATGTGCTTTCCTTGCTCTTTGGCATTATTCGCCTTCGTTCTGACCATTACACTGGGGAACAATTTTGATTTTTTTTTTTTTTTTTTTTTTTAATGCTGATTAAAATTTTAATTGCTGACTCCAAAATTGCATTTTTTTTTCGAGGACGTCAAGTTATTCATCCACAGATGACCCTCCGTATTAAAACAATTCAGTAGTAGAAAGAGCTGATTACGACTGGATTAATCTACACATAGCAAATTGTTTGTGCATTCACAATTGATACAGTGCGGTTTGAGGTCTGTGCAGTTCCCAATAGGTCAGAACAAGCAATAGAATATCTGCAAACAGAAAGGTAGCAAAGTAGGAATCAGGAGGATTGAGTGTTGGTTTTTCTCTTAACTTTGTATCAATGGGCACGTACTGTTATAAATTTCATTTCAATGTATGCAGAGTTTTTATTCGTTTTTAAAGCTTGCAACTATGCCATCTTAGTGTTTTATTTGCTTACATATATATGTATTGTTAAGAAAACAGGGGTCTTGTAGCTCAAAAACTTGACCTGATAGAGAAAAACTGAGATTAGTGCTGTATTCTGCACTGAAAATTTTGTTTAAAACTGTTGTCAGACCTAACTCGAAAATTGCGTTGCCCCGTGTAATCTTTGTTAATGCAAAATATTGACTACATATTGTTCAAGTTGGTTATAATGCTATGGATGGTTTGTGTGTGACATCAATGCAGATGTTCAGGATTGCCACATAAAACATCCAAACAGAAGAGGGAGCTGTTGATCAGTAAAAAAGGGTTTTGACAAAACATGACTGGCAAAAACTACAAAAATGTATATTACATATACAATTATAGTGTGTCTGATAGATATTTTTCGAGTTTGTTTTTTCGGCGAGGCTCTACCGAAACATATTGTATTGTTTGCTTTTGGTTTCTGCATATTTCTAAGTGTTCAAGGAATGTTGTTGGGGAAACACTCTTTGATATTTCAGCAACATTTGAATATAACAAACTCCAAAGGCAAAGTGACAACAGGAAGTACCCTGAATTATGTTCCAGAGAGACAGTGTGACTCACCAGTAGCTTTGACTTCTCTTGTTCTTCCCGGGCCTTCTCTTTCTCAACAATGAGCGAAGGGCTAAGACCATCCAACCCAACCGAGCTTGCAGTGTCTCTATCCCTCTGGGCAAGTGCGGCCAACTGCTTCTGCACCAGTGCCTGCTGATTCTCAAAGCTGAATTCAGAAATATAACCCAAAGCTAGATAATCTACAGTCAGATGGTTAGATGGATAGATCGATGGATAACGCTTACTTTCTACGAATTTCTTCCTGTAGTTCTGTGGCAGAGGGGCCGGGAGATTTTAAACCTGGAAACCGAAAGGGAAAAGTACAATGGTGCTTCCTATTACAACAAAATGACGAGAAGGAACAACAAATAAAACATGTGCAACAGAGGGAAAATAGACAGTATCAGTGACAGCGACCTACTTGATGTTTTGTGATTGTCTTGCTTAGCTGGCGTCGTGTTGGTACTGCAAGACCCCTGAGCATCCCTCATTCGGCTGAGAACATCCTCTGACAGCTGGAAAACAGTAAGCAATGGTCTCTGTGCACCACGGTACAGCGTTTCAAACATCTTCAGTGTATTTGCAGCAAAACAGGAATCCACTCAACCACTCACACACCCACATTTAAATGAATGGCTTATTTCACATTTGAAGTCAAAAATCAAATAGCCTAATAAAATAATGTCATTTTAACAACCACTTTGAAATGTCAAGATATTATATGCATATTTGCACATTTTTGGCACCAACACAATTTCAACACAGTGCACCTTGCATATTGTTGCTGCTTATATGAACTTTGCAACAACATATGTATGCATAGAAAGCCTCATTAGTCATTTTCTCGCATTTTCTGCTCATCTCTTCATTTACCATACGATATTAAATTAAACACCCACATGCTCTTGTTGTTCTGATGGTAGCTGGTGATCAGCTGGAGTCTTGCTGGTGTCTGAGCCATCTAACTGAGCCAAAACTGGCCACCACCTATCACGAGACCACTAGCAGGGTAACAACTGGGTGGCTTTTCCTCAGTTGGGAGCGGATTGCACAGTGAACGCAGGTTTGGCTGTTTAAATCTTTGTTGCTTTGTTTTGCTTTTGCGGCTTGCTCTTGCTAATGACACCAGTAAGACAAAAAAACACAACAAAACTATTCTAGTCTATATCTTGTTTGTTTTTAGCAGGGCAAGAATAGTAAGTACATCACCGTGAAAGCTTTATTTGCCCTTTATTTATGTAAACACCTTTCATGTTTAGTAAACAAAGTAAATTTCCCCAATTCAGCACGTTAATAATCATAATACAACGCCCACGTAATGGAGGTCAAAGCCGCACTGACAGTTTACTTTCACTACATGATAATCGTAGCTTGATCGCGTCATTTGTCGATGGGGTCAAATAGCAAGCAGTGGTAGTCAATAAAGGGACGTTCGAGCGCATGAGCTGGTTCAAGTGAGGACACAGACCCCACTCAGCGAACAATGATTAACGACAGTCCCCTAAAACATCAGAACTAACCGACGTGGACAGTTACCTTCACTCCTTCAATAACAGTGACCTTCTCTTCCTCGTCCAGTTCGAATGACACTTTCCTCGCCGTGCTGCCATTTCCTCCCATTTCGAACGACTTCTCCGTCTCACTTGGTGTGTGTGTGTTTTGTTTTTTGGTTTAAGTTAGCTTTATTTCCCGACAGGTCGACATCTACTTGACAGCGGCTTCCCTCGGCCGCCCGCTACTGCTGGTCAAAACGGTCCAATCAAGGTCACTGTGCCCGCACTATTCTCAAAGCCAATTGGTTGGTTGAAATCACATGGACGTCACCTGAAGAAGGGGAGGACGGGAAATGTAGTCTACAGCTGCAGTCCATGTGTGGTTCCGTATTATACAGGTAACGTTCCTATTTTTCATTAGTCCTATTCAACAAGTACAGTTTATGCATTTTACAGATTTGTGGAACAGATAGGAAAATACTTTTCTCAAGGGCCAATCATTTCATAATTTGTATGTCGAAAATAATTTTGACTTGATTTTTATGTAAAACTGTACAGTATTTCTGGTGATGATAAATATAGTATGGGGGTTTTGTTAGTTGTATATAAGTAACCAAATCATATTTGAGGGGAAAAAAAATCACGAATAATTTAACTGTGGGTATCGAATGTACTTTCACTTTTTGAACTACTGAAATAAATCAAGTTTTCCACAATATTCTAATTTATTGCACTTCGCATGTAGGGATAAGCAAACCATTTGTCTATACTCGTCTCAGTCCACCATTTGCAAATTACAGCTTTTTAATGTTGCAATTTAAAAGAAATAACAGATTCAAATTTGTGCCATTAGTTTCATTTTAACGAACTTAAATGTCCAGGTAATAAAGAAACATTTGAAAAATTCATTAGAGACCACGGAGTATTACTCTCATTTTTATTCTGTATATAACATGAATTCATTTGACAGGAAAGTGCTATTTTACAAATTATGGAATGCAATTTAGAGAAGCATTTTAGAGCTAATCTGCAAAATGAAAAAGCAGAGATACTCTAAACTACTCCAGTTAAGTAGCATCGTTCAGCCGAATTCGAATCAAAAACGCCGTCGGCCAAGTCAAGAATGTTTTTTTTTTTGTTGTTGCTGCACAACAAATACATTCAAATGTAACCTTGCAGTATGTTTTCACCATATACTGTAGGATACCACTGTGAATACTATGTAGTTTTAATACAGAGCTCTTTTCACATTTCCAAGCACTCACACAACCAACAGTGATAGGTGGGATAAATACAAGGCAGCTTTTGTCCTTGACCAAAAAAAAAATGCAGTTAATGAGGCATTTCCGGCTCAGATGAAGAGTACAAGGGGGTGAAAAAGTCTAAGACCATGGCTGATAATTCTTTTTGTTCAGTGTCAGTCGACAGTCAAGATGGTGTAAACTGAACCACAGAATATATTTGCAATCCACTTTCTTTTTACACAGCAACACACAACACTTTCACTTAACAGAATAGTACTTAGTTCAAAAGGTAAAATATACCTGTCAATAGCACACAACTTTGCCAAGTATGTTGAGAAATGGCAGTTTAGGTCACGCAACTGATAACTTGTAGCACGTAACGTTTTGGAAACTTTTCAATGGGAATGTACAAATGATACTCAGTGTCTCAAATCATGTTAAGAATGTAATGAAGAAATCTTCCTCACTGAGGACAAAGCGATTGCTGAAGAAAAGCGGAATGAGAGAAGATCTGCTGAGAAAAAGTCAGCTTGAGCGAAGAGCTACAGCAGCGGGGCACACTGGCAACAGTGTTTAAAAAAAAAGGAAACAAAACTGTCAATTAGTCAGGAGCCACAACATAAATGGATAGAAAAGGGTCCCTCCTTACTTCTTCACCCATATTTATACTGCCGCCTTGGTCTCATAGAAACACATTTACACATTGCTTTTGACTCTTCATTTACACACACTCGAGTTCAAATGTTTGACACCACCCCCACAGAGGAATTAGACGTTAATTGGCCTCCAATGATCAGCTTCAATGCTGTTGATGCTGCTGGATCCATAGGGTCCCGAAACAACGTCGTCGAGATGCGCTCCAACCACTCCTGCACTGCTGGGACCCGAGCCGTCAAACTGGGTGGAGGAATAGTACAGGCCTTGATCGGTGAGCTCCCGGCGGCCAAGGGTTGATGCTACAGTCGGTGGAAGGTTGACATCGCTTTCATCTGCCTCGTCCACCTGTGACTTGTAGGAGAACAGGATCTTTGGTTCTGAGCTGCGGGGGAGATAAAACAGATAAAAGTGTGGAGATCATTTTTTTACTTTTTTTTTTTGTTTTGTTTTCAGAGCCCTTTTGCTACAAGCGATTCTTCTTACATACCCAAAGAATCCTTTGAGGAATGTGATGTAGATGAGTGGTGCGAAAGCAGAGAAGTAGAGGAAGGTGGTGACATCAACACAGCTGAAACAGGAAAAAAAAAACAAAAAAAAAATCAAGAGTTAGGACTTCACGTTGTGCATGTAGTAGCAAAAGGAGATGTAACATTTAACTAGTCCAACTAGTTGGGTATGCGGCGTGCCTGCCCACCCATCAAGTGGGAAATTTAACAACCAAGTCTTTTTTTTTTTTTACCTATTTTGGAAAATGTGCCCATGAGTGAGCTGCCAATGTTGCATAAGTGAATGGCTAATTTACATAATTAACCACACCCACACCAAATTCTCTGCCTATGAAATGATCGCATAGCCTGCATGACGAGGCATATCCACTTGGACGCAATACTCTCTTCCAGCGCACTTTAGGCTCTCCTCCTACAAGGTGAAGGAGCACTGAGGCCATTATGGTAACAAAAGTCGTAGAGGCTGTTTACATGCGCCGATTGTGCGCACAAATTTGCAGCGCGATAGAATGCAAGTCCAGATGCTCAAGTTTACCAGTGTGTCAGTACACTCCACCGATTTGAAATATTTTAGGATATTTTCACAACAGTTTTGAAAGCTGCCCTGAATCCAAACGGCTGAGTGAGACTTGGTGTAATTGTGTCATAAATGTCATTTTAAAACAGAAAACTGATTTATATTAATTGTTCATTTTACACAGAATAAATGTCACCTATTCAATTGTGGCCGTGGCATATTAAAAATCCATGTATTATATACCGTATTGGTTTTTATACCAACCAGAGTCCCTCGATAATTCCTGCACACAGAAGGGCACTGCCCAGACCCTGGATGAAGTTCAATAAGGAGAGGGTGGCAGCATACACATAGAAACTCTTCTTAGCTGCAGAGAGGAAACACAATGAAAGTCGGTCAACACAGAGTAGGAATCCTGCGCTTTCTTAATTTCTATGGACTACACACACTAGCCCCGAGAAGCACTTAATTCACGACAGGAATACAATAAAAACATTTAAAAAGATGTTTATATGCTCTTGTGTCAGCGTTAGTTCCGGACACATTTATTTTTTGGAACTATGTGCCCACATTTATGTGCATTGTGCTTTTTGTCTTAGTCAACAGAATTTTCTATTTGTCAGTATGTGTGTTGACGGGAAACTTATCATGACGAATACTCACTAGCCAGAATTTATGACTGTGTGCACATTTGGACACAACATTGTTCATGGAATTGTTTGTTCTGCTTTTGGAAAAATTTTATTTATTTTTTTTTAAGGCTCATCCTCAGCTGTTTACTCAGCAGGACTATGAATACACAGACCATGCGCAAAGAGCACATTTTGTTCTAACAGCGACTCAATCCATGCAAAGCGGCACAGAGCACCACTCGATTGAGCCGCCCACCCTTTCCTGCAACTAAACAGTATCGCTAACATTGTATTTGTTCCCTTTTTTTCCTGGCAGTTAAAGCTTTCGTGTTGTCTGACTGAGCAGGAAGCAAACTGGATACTCGTTTGCCAATCAGTGGCATTTCAAAGTGCTTCCGGGGGACAGCGCACGTCGCTCTATTCCAACTTACATGGCAGAGATATCCTCTCCCTCACTGGAGTTTTAGGCAAGATCACAATCAGAGAGTACACCTAGGAAAGACATTGCCAGACAAGTATTTCACCTGAATGATGCTCAAGAGTGATATACAGCATGCCCATGTAGTTTTTCTTTTTCCCTGATTTTTCCACTGTTCACTAACCAAGAAGAAGAAGCAGGAGCTGGCCAACCAAAAATGTCGCCCTCCATGTCCGTAGATGTTGAAGTCCTCAGCGGACAGGTGGCTGTCCGGGTAATAGATCTCTAAAGTGCCCTTCAGGGGATGCATTTTTATATATATTTGATCGGGGCTGGGGGTAATTGATGCCATCACTACATACCAGATTGCAGTGGAACCTCTAAAGGATGAGAAATTCATTTGTTTGGACATTACTTTTATCACTTTACATTTAGATGACTTAAGACAGGTAGATAAAATTAGAAAGTTTACTGTGCTGGTCTTTAGCTGCTCCACTGGAAACTGTATGTATGACATCATACTGTCGGCATTTGTCATGTGAAGTTACCTGTGTGATGGAGAATGCCAACGCGAGCACAGTCGTGATAGCCAGCACCCGCTTTATACTAGATTTACTCTCCAAATGACCTAGAAATGCAAAATGAGTTACAAGACAAGAAAATGAAACCTGCAATTTAGCATTATATATATGTTTTAAAAAACACCACAACAGTGCCCAGAATACTCCAACATGTTAAATGTAAAGTGAAACTATAAAGCAAACCAACCAAAAGCCAGTCCCAGAATGACAACACTGAGTTCAATGGCCAGTAAGAAGAAGCGGGTGATTTCCCATAATACCTTTGAGGGAGAAAAAGAGAGGGGGGGGGGGCAACAGAGATCAGGAGAATGCATTGTGGTAAAAGAGCTACCTGGATGTTGTCACCCACAAAAAACATCCATGTAGCTGAACAGCTGAGCGTGTATTCTTCAGCATTACCTAAGCATTGTTTGTTCAGTGAAACCATTTCAGCGTGTCCAGCAGTGTACATACCGCAGATAGATATCTGTTATCGATAAATGTCATGCGAACAATGTCATCAATGTTCTCATTTATGCAACAACCTCGCAAAGTCATGCGGAGAGTCAGATCAGGCCCACTGGCCAACATTGCATGAAAGAAGCAAATGTCGAGATAATGGGACAGCTGCTTGGAATTATTACACAATACAACACCACCACCGAGGGCGCCAGCTCCGAAAAACAATGTGGTAGTGTTCATTCAGAATTCAGAATAAGCGCAAAAATTAATAATCCTTAGAAATTTTTACTTGCATTTCTGATGGAAAAAAACAATTATTGACCTGTGTAATTTGTGCAACTCAAAGTTGTTTTTTATCATGAAAATACATTCACGCAACAAGGCAAATTTGAGAATATTTTGCATCCAGTCTTCAATTTCCAATGTAAAAATTACACAAACCAAACAAAACAACAATAATGTAAATTTATTATTGTGGTTGTAGTTTGCAGTGGTATAGAGCTGCACTGCTATTTCCTTTTCATTTCCTTACTTTGTCGATGATGGTGGCAGAGCTGGATGCACTGACAGTCATTGATACAATGGCCCGGGTAATTCCAACTGCTGCTACGACAAATACCTGAGACAAAAACAACTTCTTAGAAGACTAAATAACTTGCTGTCAGTAAGTAAAGAACAACGTTTGAGTTCAGAATAGTTTTGAAAGCTTTGAGGTCAACCAGAATCGCATTTTATTTTGGGGGTGCCACTGTCCTCGTTGCTAGAGTTGACATTTTAAGTCCTACCAGCAGGTAAAAGGTGATGAAGATGGGGCTAGACGTGATCCGAATCTTTGCCCTTGCTGATGGCAGCTTCCACATCAGGAAAACAAAGAAGGCCACATTCGGTATGAGGAGGGTGATGTCCCAGAAGCGTACCCTAGAATGGAGACCATAAAGACCATTAGCGCCATCATCATCTGGATTTGCCTTTTATTGTGTGGTCACACTTGATACCTGGAGTCACCAACATCCTCATACAGAATTTGTAGACATTTGTGCGGCTTGCTGATGTTAGCTTCGGAATCAGGTAGCCATGTGGAGAAAGTAGACGTATTCCCTGGTGGTGCTGTCGTGATGCTGCCATTGTATTGCGCAAACCTAACCACAGGAGTGGCTAGCATGGTTTTTCGCCTGAGGGGGGAACACAATACATAAACGCAACGAAATAGAGAGCAAGTCAGGTATTTTTCACATTGAAACCTTTGTTGATACGTCCCAGCAATCCACACATACCATGCATTCTCACAATTCACACAGAGAGGCATGACACTTTCTACGTGTTGTACCAGGCAGGCACCTGCTCAGATTTGCTTTAAAATATTGTTACAACCTCTAATGTTCATGAGAGTGCGGCAAAAACAACCTAAAGGAAAAATGTCAGTAGTTGGGTTCTAGTTTATATTATTTGTGTATGAGAACGATGTGGTAACAAACCACTTCCTCAAAAGATCTGGTGATGTGAACGCCCCATAATGTTGTAAATGACCAAAAACTACCAAAAGTAGCATAATCGTCACTCCGTTGGCACAGTTTTTTGACACATTATTTAGTGGACGGGTTTTCAAACAGCGTTCAGTGTGAGTCGACGTTGCCAGCTAGCTTGTTAGCCATCAAAAGTGCACTTTGTCAAGTGGCATACATCATTTTAAAACAGATCTAACAAGAACAAACATGAGGGATTGTGTATCGGATTATCTAGCGTTTTCGTTTGTATCGAAACAAAAATGAAAAATAGACTGTAAACGCAACGACGCTAACCCCGCGATACACGCCGTTTTACCTTTTCAGAAGACTCCGTTGTGCTGGAAACGCTGTGGTAAAATCATGCAGCGTTATCACGCGGTTCACATGTTGCCTCAAGAACGACACACGTCACTCGATTGGTCGATAAACCTGGACATGTTTTTTTTTTTTTCTGGCGAGTTCCCTGGATTAATATCCCCGATTGTCAAATGATATTTTGCAACCCACCGTAGCAAATCTCGCGAGATGATACAATGACGTCACGGTACCGTTTCGTCATGGTACTTTATGAGGCCGATGTAAAGATGTGACGAGTCAATAAAGGACAGCATATTATCTGATAAATCGAATTTAGACAATACATTCGTTCTATTAGGTTTTCTAACAAAAAGGCTCGAAAAACAATAGAGATTTGCAGTGATTTAAAGGTGTATATACAGTATGTAAATCTTTTAAAGCCCCTAACAATTTGTAGCCGAACCTTTTTCTATCTTTTGCCGATGTAACGTTTTTCTTTTCTTCTCTTTTATAGTCATATCGCATTTCTTGATCGTTATCATGACTATTCTTTTTTCTGTTGATGATTTTGCAAATTGCACTCAACGGTTCATTCATTGAAATCATCTGAAAAGCACAATGACATAAATATCTCTAAATTCTTCCCAATTCTAAACATTGCAGAGATTTATAGAAACAAAATGTTGTCTATAAATGACAGTAATCACTCGTATGTTCCAAAAATACCCGTGATAAGTGAAATCTGTCAAGTAGTCATCTTTATTTTTTTACAATGATTACGTATACAGTACAGTACTGTATTGAATTAAACCAAACATTAAACCTTTTTTCAGGCCTAAGCATTTGCAAAAAACAAAACAAAATATAAATGTTTTCTTACAAACAACTCACAGTTTTTAGGTTTTTTTGACTGTCGCTAAATATACATGTCTATTTTCACTGCTCCAGATGAAGAACATGGCACGGCTGCATTTTTGTTATAATGCAATTTTGCACTTGATTGATGGTTTCTTTAATTGCGACATGACATTTGTGGTACTAAAAGATGGAGTAAGTTGGTTCTCATTCCTCACTAAAGGCTCACGTGCCAAATGCATGACTGCCACTCCCAAAAGCTCTCATGAAATGATGGTGACACGTGCTTTCGGATTCCCTGACATCATCCGATAGGCCAGGTGCACAGGTTCAGTCAAGTTTGCTTCGAATGTGTACACGAGTGTCTTGCCACCGGTGGGGCTGATGTGGTAGAAACTGAACGTGCGGCTTCTGAAGCTCAGCCTGATCTCGAGCCTGCACGAGACCGTGGTTCTCTTGAGCGGCACATCGCGACCCCGCTCGAAGGCCGTCAGCAAGTTGTCGAACCACATCAGGCACCAGGAGCACCGGTTGCTTTCCAGCGCCGACGAAATCCCGCTCCGCTCCAGCTCCCCGCTTTGACACAAGCCCACGATCCACGGAGCACCATCAAGCTCCATCTCCCAGCGATGGTTGCCTTCGGAGAAGCTCTGGGAGCTGAGGACTTGGAAGAAGCTGGTGAATCTCTGGGAGGAAGGCGGGTATGGCTGCTTGGTGGCGCTGAATGTCACAGTCTTCAAGTCTTCCGAGAGGATGAGGTTCGGATGAGCTGTCCTGATGTCAAACGTCAGCTCAGACGGATTGAGGACATTGCGAAGGGAGCGCTGAATGACGCCGAGGCTTTCCCTAAGCTTGCCGTTCATGTTCTCCAACTTGGGAAGGATTCGAACGGGGTCGTCTTCTGGCTCCATGCGGCCCTGAATTTTTTCAGTGTTTTTTCTCGTCATCTCGGCAATGTGTGGCTGCAGGTCTCGAAAGTCTTCTACGAACGCGGCCTCGTCTCCCTCGGTCAGGAGTGACTCGGCTCTGAGGAGAACTTGTCTCAGCTGCTTGGCGAGGCGGGCGGCCTGACCTACCCTGTGGCTCGCGCTGGCTTCGCTCGGAGAGAGCTCTTCATCCAGCAGCCGCATCACCTCAGCGCTGTACTTCCGCACTACATCACTCAGCTGGCGCAGCTCTTCCGATGCCTTTTCTCTCAACTGCTCATGAGCTTCCATCAGCTTCGCTTGCTGCTCCTTCTCCTTCCCCAGCACATCCTCCGCCATCTCCAAGTGGACGGCCAGGTCTGTGACTTGAGATGCCAGTCCAAAATTAGTCAATTCAAACTCTTTGGATTTCAAGTATTTTACCTCACTTCCTGAGCTCTCTTTAGTTACATCCAAGTGGCATTTTGTTTCATCCTCAACCGCACCACATGCAGGCAGCTGGACTTTACCAACTGCAGTTTTGAACGACTCGACAATATTGCACATTTTGGAACAGGTCACCACAGCTTGGCTCTCCTGGTAGTCTTTCTGACACTCAGGACAGCAGTGACGGTCCAGCCCTTCTCCCAGAGTTTGAATGCAGACGTGGCAGTAGATGTGACCGCAGGGCAGCGACACAGGCTCGGAGAAGAGTTGCAAGCAGATGGGGCAGCAGAGTTCTAAAGCTAAGGCCTTAGCAAGATGTGTAATGGCGGGGTTTGTCAGAGCAGACATGTTGACAGACGCTGTAGGATAGATGAGGAAAACGATGATTTAACTCTCACCTCTGAAAGCCCCTCCTACTCTGTGCTTATCTGTGTTTCCATTTCCAGGTTCCTGCCAACACTGACTGTTGGCAGGGTAGCCTGTTTATAACACCTGTTAAAAGCCTACCAAAGCCATAAAAGCAGGGCTGGGCAAAATGTTGTGCTGAAGGGCCACATTTGAGTTTTAAAACGGACAGATGGGCCAGACCACTCACATGAGTTTTTAATCATAAAAACAACAATCATTTAATTTGTATCAACTACAATACATTTAATAATGTAATACAATTTAAACTCTTAAATGTTGATATAAATTGGTTATTTTACAGGAAATGAATTTCATATAAAGTACTAAAAATAAATCCAAAAAAAATCTATACATTTTAGTTCATCATTACTAGAGGAAAAAACGCTAATTTAATGCAATAGATATTGGCATGTGAGCCCCGTTTACCACGCCACTGTTTCATTAAAGCGAATATTGCGGTGAATAAACGGTTCAGTAAACGTTGATGGGTCACAGGTTCCTTTATCTTGAGTTAGGTTTCGGTTTCCACGCAAAGTTCACTCGGACAAATCCAAACTTGCGCTTGATTAAATGAATACAGTAATCACATGACAGATGTCATCATTTTATACACTTCGCATAGATGATTTATTTCTAATTTCTCCGGTGGCAAAAGTCCTTTACATTTAGTTCCTTTTGAAGCGACACGTGGGTCAGTTGCCCATTTAAAAACCTCTATACGTGGACCGAGCCCCACTACTGTTAAAATGTACTGTATGTAAAATTTTGAAATAATCAAAACTCACTGATTGAAAGAAGGCGTGAAGTCGGCGTGAAGTCGTCGCGTCAGATGTTTCACGAGGAAATACTAGTTGGGAGCTCATTCCGGACAAGACACCCCTGACACACGCCACCTGGCGCTCAGTTTATTTTGGTTCAAGCTTGCAAACTGCACTTCATTCATACGTTGTATCAATAAGGTCCCCAACTCGTAATAAAACAGATATATTTATTTCAAATGCATCTATTTCTGTACATGCATTTCGTTTTCAAAGCAGCACATTTAACCAGCTCCAATGAATCCCATCTTTCTATCATGAAACGTATGCACAGAAAAAAAATAAATAAATATAAGTGTCATGAAATAATCTTAAAAACCATTGCAGTTTAGCTCAGTTCTTGGTTCAGTGGCAGTAAGTCACTATAAAAGCATCTCCCTCATTCACAGTGTACAAACATTTCTAAAGGTGGTACAGTAGTGCAGAAGAAACTAAAAGCTTCCTTTTAGTGAAATGTGTCGTTTGTTCACATGGTATGTGTGGGGTTTTTTTCCCCTTTCAATTTGCGATCAGGGTCACTCATTCTGTATTCCATGATATTGAATCAATCATTCCCAACATAACTCAACAACCATGTATTTTGTATGCAGGATTAATAAAGAATTTGCAAACCTAAACTCTTTAGTAGTGTCTATAGCCCCAACAATTAAAATAGAGACAAAAAAATCTCAGAAGTTAACATTAAATAAGTGAATAGTAGATGCCAAAACAGAAGGAATACAATCCCATACCCATGCATGCAGTTATAAACTATCGACTAAAAAGGAATGTCATGTTATTGCTTTGTGCTTCATGGCCCCATTACACAAAATTAAGCAATAGTAGCTACAAATTTGGCATTGCATCAGTTTTTTCCCCCCCATGCTTTGGGCTGGTATGTGTGATACTGTTAAAGCTGCCATGCACAAATAATTGGAATGAATGTCAATGCAATGAATAAAAATAAAGGCAATATATTGCTTGAAAAATTGCATCTTGAGGATGAACATCGGACAGACAGTAGGATGATTTGACTGGTGAGGTCACTCAAATGCAGGAATTAGGCATGCTGGGACAAAATGTGTCGCAACACATTGCTGTAAATATTAAGGCAGACAATGGTTACGTGTTTTTGGCCGAGAGTAAGGATGGTGTGTCTACAGTAGTGTGTCGAGGTCCAGTTCTGGCAGCGGCTCCTTCCAATAGGTGACGCTGCTGAATTCAGGACACACAAAACCAGAAGAGCCGCTCTCGTCCAGCTCGGGGAAGAAATGCTCTACCAGCTCACCGAGGTGGCTGTAACTGCACCGGACAATCAGAACATGATCAGAGATGGATGCTTCTCAAAGAGTTTCCTACGAATGCGCTGGATAAAACTTACGAGGACTTGTTTCCTTTGGTCATCTCTTGAATCAGCTCTCCTTTCGGATTGACAGTAAATATCCTGGTGTTGAGCACCCCCACCTGTGTGTAGGCGTAAGCATCCTGCACAAACAATTCAAAAGTATTCAGTATTACTTTAAACTCATCTACCATGCTTCCTTAAATTGCAGCCTTCTGACGAACAGACCAACGGCCAAACTGTCCACGGTCATCTTCTAAAAATAAGAACTACATGCCCCAGACACCTCCTTTGTCCCCTTACACAAATAAGAGGTGCCAATAGATGGCTCCGCTTAACTTGACTATGACTCATACCACCAAATGACACTTTTGAGGGGATTACACTTTTGACGACTGAGAGAGAATGTGCAGTGTTGCATACGTTGGTCCTGTTGCCAAAGGCAGCGTAGAAGGGCTGTCTCTTGGGGTTGAATAAGTCCCTGATGTCACTGAGGCAGGCGATTTTAAAGACCTCGGGCTTCTTCTCAATCACCTCCCTGCATGATGGACAAAAGACAATTCGCAAGCAGTTAACTTCAGATGGAGCAACAAGTTTTGCATGCTGGACAAACAAGTGTTAGAATGACACTTTCGGCGAAATGCTATCCATCTATTTTCTATCCCGCTTATCCTGTTCAGCGTAGGGAATGTTTGCACCTGTGCAGTGCAGAAAAGAGGCTGCTTGGGGCCAGCAGTACTGGGCCTTTGGGAAGGACGGTGCCTTTGTCGTTGACCCACTGCAGGTAGTTCTTAGTGATGGCGGCCATGCCTATAGCCCGCGCAGAACAATACAGGAACTTATAGCCATTTCTGCAATGATAGAAACAGTCATTTAAACAGATCCGCAAATACAGTCTATCTGTCTCTTACAGCACACAAATACAGTTGACCTACTGGTGAATCTTGTGGTAGAGCTTGGCAATGTCTTTGTGCGTCCAGTCTTTGCCAAACTGAGGCAGGATGTGTCCCAGAGCATCAGACCTGTCGGGGGGGGGTTAAATAAAAAAATCAAGCTTCTTTCGTCATTGCTACATCTGAAGTTGCTTGAGTCACAAGACCGATTTGAACTATAACGCGAGCAGAGACAGCTGCATTTACTTTGTGATTGTGCCGTCTATGTCTGATATGATGATGCGATCGTCCCAGTTCCACAAATAGATGGCGGCCTCACAGCGACAGGTGCCCTGGTACTGAGTGGTCACACTAAATATCACCTTGTTGACTCCTTCGCGCAGATTCAAGTTCTCCTGTTATAAAGTATAGTGACAAAACGTAGTTAGGTTAGAAGTGTCGTGGGCAGGCACACATCATTTAATTGAAGGGGGACATACAGGTGCCTCACAAGTTTCCACATGTCGAGGAAAATGTTATGAAGACACTGAGGGGTATTGTTATAAATGGTAAAAAAAAAAAAAAAATGCACGTCTCCTTTACAGTGTGTCTACTTACTATCTGTTCAGATGTCAGACGAAGTGATTTGCGGTACATTTGAGTGAGACACTGAGTGGTGCGAAGTGTCTCTGTTGACATGCTAGAAGTAAGGACGGCTTTGTGACCAAGCCTTGCCACCGCCTCTCTATCCGCATCATCCAGTGTGGCTCTTGGGTGAAAAAAAAAAATACATCAAAAATTATTGGGTGCGTGGTGGAACTGCACTGGGTCATACTGAAAGATATTTAAAAGACATTTCGCCTGTGCTTTAACAAAATAGGGCGGCCTAACATATTTGACAAACTGAGTGTGCAAATCTACAGCACTGTGAATGATGAAGTCAATCATTTACTTTTCGGGCCAATGAGCATTAATGAAGCATTGTAAAACAGCTCTTTGATTGGACGTTACTGATGTACCCAATGTGTCTACTGAGGGTTTAATGTACGGTAGTCTTAGTTGGATTTCAAAATATGATGCAGTAATGGAACTGTTCATAATTAAATGCTATGTTTTTTTTTTTTTTTTTAAATGTAAATAACCATACATGACTACGCTAGGGTCCCCACGCTGTATTTCCTGGTCGTCTTTCTTCGAGGGTCCTTGCTGAAAAACCAAGAAGAGACATGTTCAGTAAATGTGCCACCGGCAGTGGCTTCCAATTGGATCGGCCAATTTTTAAAACACAAAGACAGCAACCTGGTTGTTGTCCAAGTCTCGTCGCCTCCAGGAGAACCACCAGCCTCCAGACTTTTTGGGCATTTTGTCCTTAACTAGGCTCTGAACAGTACTCTGTGGATAGAGAACACAATATCAACACATGAATACTATCAATTCACATTGAGTGAATTGTGTATTGTTACATTATTAAAGAGCTCGGTCATGAGCTTGATTAACGAAAGCCTACTTATACACTGCCTGCTGATTTGTTGAAATGGCACAGAAACAAGATGGGGAAACTAAGTCCCCCTCTCCTGCCCAAAACTCTTGCCTTCGGAGGTAGCATACGAGCCGTGACTCACAGGCAGGGCAATTTATGAGTCAAGGGATGTGTCGCAATGGTGGGACAGGGACGTCCTAAACTCACGTCTATCACCCTGTTGCATTCAAAGCAATTTAAAGCTGTCACAGTTACAGCAATCTCCCTTTGCTGTGGTGTAAAAGCCAGAGACCAATGTCAGGTTTGAAGCAAGGGCCAATGTGGGAAATGGGGGGGAATCAGTGTATCAAAGGATTAAGTCAGGATTATTCTTAAAAAAAAAAAAAAAAAAAAAAACATTAAAAACAAGCCAACCTTGGGTAAATTCTTCTGGAAAGCTGCCATCGACAAGACCATTGGAGCAGCCACCGCCCAGTTATAATAGCTGTCAAACATAGCCAAGAACTTGAATACAGTTGAAGCAACTTCATGTCATTTCATTGATGATGAAAAGACTTGAACTCTTACTTCGAGTTGATACAGATCACGAGGCTCGGGTCATCGATGAAAAAAAAAAAAACATTAAAAACAAGCCAACCTTGGGTAAATTCTTCTGGAAAGCTGCCATCGACAAGACCATTGGAGCAGCCACCGCCCAGTTATAATAGCTGTCAAACATAGCCAAGAATTTGAATACAGTTGAAGCAACTCCATGTCATTTCATTGATGATGAAAAGACTTAAACTCTTACTTGGAGTTGATACAGATCACGAGGCTCGGGTCATCGATGATTCCAGGGTTGCGGACAAAGTCCTCGTATGACACAGAGTGCTCCAGAAATTTCTCTGGACAGACAGCAAAGCACAGATTTCACACATTTCCTTCGTGCATGAGCCGAAGAGTGATGCTCAGATCACACCAAATCACACTTACCTTTGGTGATTTGGCTGGTGTCGCCCACGTGTCCACAGAGGGACATGCTGACCTCTGTGGCGTAGGAGGCAGAATCGGACAAGTATTCCGTACCACTGTCCAGCGCGCCCATAGATTGCGGTGACTGACTTGCTGAGCCGGAGCCTTGCTCGACGACAGGAGGGGAGCAACTCTCCGTTTCACTGCAGGGGGAGAAAAAAAAAAAAAAAACGCGGAAAATTTAGAGAGAAGATGCAAACTCCACACAAGAAGATCAGAGCGGAGGTTTAAACCTCAAACCCAAACGTAACACTCCCTTAAAGAACTGAATGTATTACTGACATTGATAACACTAGTAGCAATAATAGTTTAAGTCAGGAAAATGCAGTGCATCTGCAACCACAATTATGAACGTACCTGCACCTACACTGCTAACGTATCCCTCACCATGGTAGCC